AAGCGAGAAATTCTAAGCAGGATGCGACCGGTCGACTGGCTGTATTGCGTTGGTCGACTGATCGAGTTATGGTAGTATATCAGGGCAAGACGACTTGTTTGGGAATGAAGTTAGGGTTTAGGTTTTGGTCATATATATAGAACAATATGTGGCTAGGATTTGTTCAAACAAGTAAACCAATGGGTAGGATTAAAGGAAAGTTAAATGAGCATGAAACAGGTCGGTCTTAGAAGACAAATATCCAATAACAAAGACTCAGTATCCAGAAAACCATGTACTGGTTAGTTGACTGATTTTTTTGATTCGATTGACTGATGATCAATTATCGGTCGACGGATGACAAAAGATCAGTCGACTGATATCATCCAGAAACCATGTGCATTTTTAAACATAAGCCATTTATTAAAAAAAGTTAAAAACACCATTTATATTATATTAAAAAATGAATATATATCAAGTTCCCTTTTTAAATATGGTGAAAATATATTCTTTTATATATTTTGAAAAAAAATTCACAAACAAAAAACATCTCTTAAAAAACATGAAAACCAAACACACTATAAATTTATTCTTTAAAAATTAAACTTGTTTTGGCACCTGAAAACTTTTAGTGTCGGAGGGTTTAGGGACATGACCCCTATCAATATGGCTCAAAATCCTTGAGTTATGATCCCATTTGGGCATATTTTATGCACGTGTCCGGTCATAGCAATAATTTCGTAAATGACCCATCCTATTGCAATTACGTTCAATGGAATGAATGCATTCGTTTATGATGACCCTTTGATTGTGCACGAGAAAAATTTGCAACAAAGGTTGTCTTTTTAAATCATTTTGCAAATGTGAAACTTTTTCAAATCAAAATAATATTTGGCCAAATGACCAAATCTACTACAATAATCACATTTAAACACACTATCATGCTTATGACGAGCAATGTGTGCATGTGTGTATGAAGAAACTTTATAAGATGCATAAGGAGAATTAATATTAACATTCGTGGATTTTTGTGCATCATAGCAAAATTTAGCAAGATTACCTTTACGACCGCAAATGGAGCATTTATAAAATTTGCTATACATATGTGCATAGTGTACGGGTTTGGAAGTAGTGGCACGTGACTTGGCACACAAGTTTATAAGTTTCTTATTATTGTCAATACATTTATTTAGGGTTGAATCTAAAGATGATATGCGGTTTTTCATATGATTCAACTCATCATTTTACACACTAGCATTGACAATAGAAGTAGAGCAAATATGATCATTTTTAAATGAATTAAATTTATTTCTAATGACTTCTACTTCTAATATGACATCATTTTTAACATGAGATGAACTAGCTATTCTTGTGGTCGAATTTTAATTTTTCAAATTTAATTTATCATTGTTTTCTTTAATTATCACATTCTCTTTAGCAATGATATCAAATTTGGATGCTAGCATATCATGATCGAGTTTTAATTTTAAGCTTGCTTTGTAAATTAACAAAATTATGATGTAATTTGTTATAGGCATGCATTACTCTCTCATATGCACAAGAGAGTTCATTAATAGAAAGTTTACTTTTAGAATTAGACTCGCATACCTCACTAGGGTTATCGCTTAGTGGCAGTGTGTATGAAGAAGCTCCAATCTCACTTGAAGTGGAATCCATCGGAACGTGTTGGACTTCCTCCAAGTTACCTTGATGTGCCTCTATATGTTTCCATAAAGTGTAAGCACTATCAAAAGAAGCAAGTTTGTTAGAAATGAATGAATCAAAAGCTTTAAGCAAAAATTCTAACAATAGCTTGTTCATAGTAAATATTTTCTTATCTTCCTTGCTCCACTTGGATGTCTCTAATGTGGGCACAACATAAGCACAATCAATAACGCCCCATAATTCGTTATGTTTAGATCTAACAAATAGTATAAATCTAAAACACCATTGAGCATAAGAGAAAATATTGAAATGAGGAGCAACAATAATATCATAGCCCAAACTAGGTGCACCATGCATGTCCATAATTAAGATGCAAGCAAAAAATATCAAAACTAGACTAGTAATATATAATAAGCGAGGATCTTTGACTCTAGGCGATTAAGCCACGAATTAAGAGCACCAAACTCTGATACCAAATAAAAGTACCCTAGAGGGAAGGTGAATAGGGTAATTGCTAATCTAATCTGATATTGATGCCAAATTAAAACTTATTAATTAGTATCCTAGTAAATATGATATACAAGAATATAAACAAGGATAAGCAATGAGATAATAGACAATAATCAAGAAGACAATATGTGATATAAAATATGCGCAAGAATAATATGCTAAAGTCAAACGCAAACACAAAAAATTGATCACGGAGTTTGGTCAACCCATGACCTACGTCCCCGCTCCTCACCTCTAGGAGATTCTCCACTATCTCTCAAAATCACTACACAATCAGTTTTCAAAGTTCACCAAAAACTTTTACAATCCACACGTTGTCAAACCCACAATACACTCCTCTAAGTGTTGGCCTTCTCATGTCATCTTCCTCAAATGCTTAGAATTACTACCTCTCCCTAGGCTTTTACAACTAAGTCACTCCTCTTAGAATTGCCCCTGGTCTTTACCAACCACTCCTCTAAGTGTCCTTGTATATTACAACATGTTATAATAATAAGTACCAATAAATGATTTTGTTCTCTAACAAAGATGAGAACGAAATTGTAAGCTCACACTCAATGTAACACTCTCACAACCCAAATTACATAATGTGAAATACTAAAGCTCAAGTGGGTGTGTGTAAATAATGAGTATAAATAAAATCAAAGTTCAACTCAATTCAATCTAGCATAAATATGAGAATCAAAATAATAGATAACTAGAAGATGAGTTTAGAAAAACTTCTCTAGAAACAAGAGAGGTAAAGATATGAGGTTGAAATCCTCAAGAATGGTGTTGCAATCATTCTCTTGTGAAACTTTCTTCACATAAATAAACACACCAAAACTTTAAAATAAACTAGTGTACACATTCTTGAAAACATTGTAAAAACTCTTAAGAAAAACTAAGACTTGAGGTGTATTTATACCCTCAAAAACAAAGCTCAACAAAAACTAGCTGTTACAGAAAACTAGTCGTTCGGTCGACTGATGAACACTGTATCGGTCGACTGATGAACACTGTTCGGTCGATTGATTTGGATTATCGGTCGACTGATAAGTCTGTAAAACACAGGCTAAAAAACTACACTGGTCGGTCGACTGATGGACTCACGTCGGTTGACTGAAGAGAGGTTATCAGTCAACTGATTGCTTGTAATCGGTCGACTGATAAGCTGACATTTCAGACACTGAATTTTTCCAGAAAACTTGATTTTCTAAATATGATTAAGATATCAAATCAACTCCAAAAATTATAAATTTTTGAAAATATTTATTCATATGAAAATAAACATGTTAGACAAGAAATTTCTAAAATTGCATTTCTCATTTGTGAAAACTCATTGTTTTGCAAATTGGTCAAAAATATGACCTTGTTAAAACCTAATTTTGATGAATTTATTTCAAACAAGTTCTGGGATACTTTTAAATGGATTAACAGACTTTAGAAAAGATGTAAAATAATATCATTGAGCCTATAATCCGAAAATGCAATATATGAAACAATATGTGTGTGTATATGAATAATTTGATCTTTAAGTATAAACACACAAAGTATAAACATTTAAAATAATATACCCAAGCTAAATGATCTCGTAACGCTTGATCTTGGGCGATCCTTCTCTTCGTAGAATGGATGAAGCAATAATGTGTCTTGGACTTAAATTTCATCGTGCTTCATTCTGATTTCCGCTAACCTCTAAAATATCGTCGTTGACGCACAATTCCAACCAACCTCCAACATGGATATATGTTTGAGGAAAACACAAATACTAGAAAATCAATATTAGAAATTGTTTGTTAATCATCAAAACTAGATTAGAAGGTAGACTCATAAACATAAGTCCTAACAGATTAGCTGACCGGCCAAAGTAAATTTGCCAGGTATGTTTGTGCATGTTTCAACAATACCATCTCCAGGGAAAAGCACACCTCATTTAGTAAAAAAATATTGGAAACATTAAGTGAGATTTAAATGGGAGTTGGAGTTCAATAATTTGGTAACTTTAATAAGTGAGGTGTACTTCTTTCTAGTGTCTATTTAAGGCCAATTAATTCTAGGATAGAACTGATTTATCACTTGTCTACTGATCTAAGACAATGTAGGGACAAAACTAAATTGGTCACTTTAAAGATAAAAATAAGATTGTTGTACTTATAACGAATATATAACGATTATAATGGGGTCTTTCAATTAAATGTGCCCAGAAAGGGGACAGAATCAAATTTCTTAGAACAAAGGGTGTTGAGAACTAGTTCTTATTTTCATCTCAAATACAAGTAGGGTAGATGATCCACACGGATCTCCAGCTAATTCTCTTGAGTCGGCGCTTTGATTCACTAATCTAAACATTATACATGATTGAATTTTGCTCACGTTTAAATTTTGCTCATGTGTTAACTGATCTAAAGATAGATCATAATTAACACAACATAACCAAGGCCTAGAATCTTGAAAACAGAGCATCAGAAACGGAGCGTGTATATATCCCCCCAAGTCCCTATATTAAAAAACATCACTAACTAATGAATCAAACTCCTCCGCAGGTGACCCACTTCAAGTGCGGCGGAACCTCCCTGGGCGTCGGAGTTCAGCACCAAGTCGCCGACGGCACATCCGGCCTCCATTTCATAAACTCGTGGTCCGACATAGCCCGCGGCCTCGACATCGCCGTCCCTCCCTTCATCGACCGCTCCCTCCTCCGCGCCCGTGACCCTCCCTCCCCCACCTTCCCACACATTGAATACCAGCCCTCGCCTCCCATGAACGGTCAGCTCGCGCTAAGCGGGGTCCCCTTCCTCAAACGCCATCGGCGGACGCTGGCGCTGACGCTCGGTCCAACATCTTAAGCTCACCAAACCCCAGCCCAATCCTCTTGAAGAATCAAAACTCAAGTCGCTCCTAGCAGCAGCTACGTGGCTGCCGCCGCCACCTGTGGCGATGCGTAGCATCGCCCGTGGCCTCCCCGCCGCCAGCTCCAAGCTTACTGCGCACTGTATGGACGCACCGCCTCCGCCGACAACCTCCGCTGAAGGCGCTACTTCGGGCACGTCATCTTGCACACCGCGCACGCGGATAGCGCGACGCGCGGTGAGATTAAACCGAAGAGGACGAACGCGATTAGATAAACGCGGTCCGCGAGGATACAGGCCGCCACTGGCGAGATGACGATGAGTACCTGCCGGTCGGCGCTGATTCACTTTGGAGATGCGGCCAGACTCATTTGAAGGCCGTGTGAATGGGAGGCGCCAACGTTTCGGGTGTCCGAACATCGGGATCACGAGCTGGACCAGGCTGCCGATTCACGACGCCGATTTCGGGTGGGGCCGGCCGATATTTATGGGGCCCGGCGCGATCGCGTGCGAGGGGCTGGCGTTTATGTTGCCCAGCGCGGAAGGTGACGGGAGCTTGTCGGTGGCGATATCGCTGCAGGCGGAGCATATGGTCAAGTTTCAGAAGTTGTTGTATGATTTCTGAGTAGGGACGGACTTAGATGCTCTTATCGATTGTTGGTTTGCTTTTGTTTGAGATTTGGAACAAGAAGATAGCACCAAATAGAAAAGGAGCTTTGGTTACTGTTTGGCAACAAAAAAAAGTGTCTTATCTAAAAGCTTATGTCTTATTAACTTGGTCAATAAGCTAGTAGAGTTGTTTGGTGACCAAAAATAGGAGGAGATTATTTTAGAGATTGTGTCTTTTGCAAGTAGCTTTTGGAAAGCTATCTCAAGTAGCGTTTGTCTTTGGGAAGGAGTTGTCAATTTTTTTCTTCCATTTTTGCCCCTAATAATTCTAATTTTATATCAATAATATTGCATGACCTTTTTAGTCATTTAACAAATTTAAGCTAGTTGTACAGCTTCTTTTGCCAAACAGTTCTAATCAATCAGCTAGCTACACATTTATCAGCTTTCAGCTACAATTTCACAGCTTTCAGCTAGCTTGACAACTTTCAGCTAGCTTGACAGCTTTCAGCTATAATCTCGTAGCTTTCAGCTAGTTTTGCCAAACAGAGCCTAAATAAGTTGCTTTTGATTAATTTCATGGTTTTTACGTTTTTTCTTTTTTCTTTTTCTTGTGGAATGTGAGCGTTGATAGTTGTAGAATTGCAATATGGAATATGTTTATATGCTATTTGTCTTAATTGTAATTGGATTTAGGATAATAGGCATAAAGTTTTGCTATTGGTTTATATTTTTCATTGTATACATGAGCTCAATTGGAAATTGTCGGCTGCGCACCTAATGAGAAAAAGTTGGTTTTCCCCCCAGAACACTGCATAATTTCAAGGGATTCACATCATCTCCAATTACATGTTCAATTCTCTTGAAGATATCACATCATCTCAAAACCAGCTAAAATGTTTACGATGTATAAGAAAAGAGGATAAATTTTAGAGTTCAGAAATCTAACTATTCCTTGTAAAACTTCAAGCATTACAAGTCGCTAATTTCAGACAAATTGCCATTAATCAAAGAGTTATCGAATTTGCCTAAAACTTAATGTTTGATAAATTGTAATAATTATGAAAAATATAGATACAAGATGTCTTAAAGAGTTCAGATACCGTGATGGGTATTCGCGTTTTAATTTAAATACAATAAGAGTGTTTGTGTTGCGCGCAGCGGAAATTTTGGTAGCACTTCGGCAGCACAACAAGAGAGTCAGATCGTAATAAGAGTTCCCGTCTCACCAAATAAACAAGAATCTGAAGCGAATATCTCAACAAAGTGAGATATCGGCTCTTCCTCTCATCAGTTCTAGGACTGACCTGTCGATGGATCCTAAAAACTATTACAAATCACACAAAAGCGATACAACCAATTTTACATGGTTCGGTAAATTGCCTACGTCCACGGGGCAAGGAGGGGGGAGATCTACTAATAGAGGGAGAAAATACAACTAGGGTTTATAATCACTCAATCTAAACCCTCTCACAAACTCTCAAATCGCTCACACAAATATCTCTCTACAAAAGGATGCACAAAACTCTAAACAAGCCACTGCAATTTTCTCTTTTTCAGCCGACTTTTCTCCCCGGTTTTTCCCACCTGTTGTTTGCACACAGCCGCTTTTCCCCTGTTCTTGCTCTTAGAACCACGAAGCCCTAGCCAGTGTTTTTATAGGGTCGCGGTTTGTACCGGGTGGGCCTGTTCACACGTCCACGAAAAAACAAAAAAATTACATGTATGATGCACATGTACATCGGATGGGCCATGGTGTATTCATGCATCCATTGGTGGGTGTGGCTCCCAAAAATGTCCACGTTCACAATTCTCCACCTCGGTGAAGTTTTTCCAAAACTGAGCCGACACCAAAGCAACCAAATGTCCCACTTGTTGTGTCCAGTATGAACGCAATCCACAACAGGTCGAGAACCCGAACAAGAGTCCAAACAATCTCACCCCCATCAACTAATCCAAACCGGCTGCATCAAACATGACTGCCTACGTATCCTCTTGCCCAAGGAATCAAGCCACTCGTAGTTCATCCAAATGGCCGTCAATGGCCTCAACAATCAAGAATATGCAACAAGTTTCGACAATGATCAAACTTGTTGCTCGGAACCACCTTAGTGAGCATATCCGCCGCTTGTTGCTCGGAACCACCTTAGTGAGCATATCCGCCGGATTATCCTTCGTGTGGACCTTCACAATTTCCACATCGCCATCTTCAAGAACATCCCGAACTATCCGCCGGATTATCCTTCGTGTGGACCTTCACAATTTCCACATCGCCATCTTCAAGAACATCCCGAACAAAGTGATAACGAACGTCAATGTGCTTTGTCCGCGCATGAAAAACCTGATTCTTCACCAAATAGGTAGCACTCATGCTATCATAATGAATAGTGACGGACCGCTGCGATATACCAAGTTCCTCCAAAAGTCCTCGAAGCCAAATAGCCTCATTCATAGCCTCCGTAACTGCCATATACCCTGCCTCCGTCGTAGACAAAGTCATCGTCTACTGTAAGGTGCATCTCTAACACACCGGCGCACGGGTCAAAGTGAGCACATACCCCGTAGTAGACTGGCGTTTATCCAAATCCCCGGCATAATCCGAATCAACATAACCGATGCATAGCTGCCCACCTGTAGTGTCCCGCTCATAAACCAAACCAACATTGAGTGTACCTCGAATGTACCTCAAAATCCATTTTACAACATCCCAATGACCCACTCCTGGATCGTGCATATATCTCGATACCATGCTTACTGCCTGTGACAAATCTGGTCTCGTACATACCATCGCATACATCACGCTCCCAACCACGCTCGCATATGGAGTCTTCGACATCAACTCTCGATCTTCAACTAATTTTGGTGAAAGACCAGCTGAAAGCTTCAAATGGGCTCCCAAAGGTACACCAACTGGCTTCGTATCCATGCTAACATGGAATCACTGTAGAACTTTCTTCAAATAAGCCATATGTGTCAAACAAATTCTGCCCTTCTTCTTGTCTCTGTCGATCTCCATCCCTAAAATGTTCTTTGCCTCACCCAAGTCCGTCATCTCAAACTCATTTGAAAGCTGAACTTTCAACTCATCTATAGCCGACCTGGAAATAGAGGCAACCAACATGTCATCGACATAGAGCAACAAATAGATGTACGCACCTCCTTTCAACTTGCAAAAATATACGCAAGGATCAAACTGGCTCCGAGTGTACGAATGACCAATCATAAAACCATCGAATCGCCTATACCACTGTCGAGGAGACTGCTTCAAACCGTATAGCTATTTCTTTAATCTGCAAACTAATTTATCCTTCCCTGTAGCTCAGAATCCCAATGGCTGAGTCATATATATTTCTTCATCAAGATCACCATGAAGAAATATCGTCTTCACAACCAACTGATCTAACTCCAAACCATACTGTGCCACCAAAGCTAGCAAAATCCGAATCGAAGAGTGCTTCACCACCGGAGAGAAAACCTCATTATAGTCAATACCTTCCTCCTGTGCATAGCCCTTCGCAACCAACCTGGCTTTGAACCTCAATGGAGTGCCCTCAATGTCCTCCTTTTTCGTGTATATCCACTTGTAACCAATTGCCTTTCGCCCCTTTGGAAGCTCAACAAGCTCCTATGTATCGTTCTTATGAAGAGATTTCATCTCCTCCTGCATAGCCACATGCCACGAATCAGCCTCCGAACTCTGCTCGGCCTCTCTGAATGTAATAGGTACTAACTCATCGATACTCTCTAGCGGAAGTGCATACGCAACTGTGTCAGCATACTGTGCTGGCATCTGTATGTTTCTCCTCTGTCTCCGAAACGTAATCGAATCTTGAACCTGAGCCGTCGGTCCCTGATCCTGCACATCAGTACCCGTATCCTCCGTGTCACCGTCGTGCTCGCCTAGCGTCACCTCAGTCGGTACTCTAATGGATACTGTACCATCTGGACAATGTGAAGCTGCATCGATCTCCACCACCTGTGATATCTCCTCTATCGGGTCGCTCTCCACCTGATATGAGCTGGAAAGCTTCAAGATAAAAGCCTCATCAAACGTGACGTCCCTACTCAGCACAATCTTCTTATCAACTGGATCCCAAAGCTTGTATCCCTTGACACTACGCTTGAATCCTATAAATATGACCTTCCTAGCTCGAGGTTCTAACTTATCAGTTCTCACATGATAAAATACAGGGCACCCGAATACCTTGAGCTGGTCATAATCTCGTGCTGGCTCTCCCAACCACATCTCCATAGGGGTCTTCCTCTCGATCGCAGATGAAGGTAGCCTATTAATGAGGTGGCTCGTATATGCAAGTGCCTTAGCCCAAAAGATCTTCTCCAAACCACTATGCGACAATAAGCATCAGATCTTCTCCAGTAACGACCGATTCAACCTCTCTGCCACCCCATTTTGCTGTGGTGTATGATTAACCGTGAAGTGCCTCTCTATGCCCTCGTCTCGACATAGTTGCAAAAAGGGGTCTGAAGTATACTCTCCGCCGTTGTCGGATCGCAACGTCTTGATCTTTCTCCCAGTCTGTAGTTCCAATCTCTTCTTCCACTCCACGAATATATCTAGGACTTCACTCTTCTTTGTCATGGTGTACACCTAACATTGCCTAGAATAGTCATCAACAAACGTGACGAACCAATGTCGACCACCAAGTGATGCAGTCTTGGTGGGACCTCAAACATCTGTGTGCACGTAGTCCAGGATGTCCCTCGTCTGATGAATGACAGTCCTGAACTTCACCTTCGTCTTCTTACCAAGAACACAGTGCTCACAGAACTCAATCTTCCCACTCTTGACTCCCTTCAATAGCCCCTGCTTGCACAATACCTGCAGTGACTTTTTACCTGTGTGTCCCAACCTATAGTGCCAAAGTCTGCTCATGTCCGCTTCTGAAATAGCCGAAGCAACCTGGCCAATTTCGGTGCATTCCTTCAGATAATACAAATTCTGATTGCGGCCTCCCTTCACCTTAGTGACCTTCGCTACAGCATTTTCGAAAGTCACCTTGAATCCCTTCGCCTCCAAAGCTCCAACTGAGATAAGACTTTTCTTCAGTTGATGAACAAATCTCACATCCTTCAACTCACGGACTACTCCATCGTGCATCCTAATCCTCACGGTACCTATCCCACAAACGCCACAGGATTGATTATTTCCCATGACAACAACACCCCCGTCGACTTTCTCAAAAGATGCAAACCAGTCTTGCCTAGGGGTCACATGATAAGTAGCGCCGGAATCAAGCATCCAATCTGATGTATCCACATGGCTCACCTCTGGAGTAATCAGTAGAGAAAAGCATGAATCATCGCAATCATCGCCTTTCGTAATGTTCACCTCATTGGCCTTCGGGCCATTTTTCTTACCATTCTCCTTCTCCTTGAGCTTCGGGCAGTCTCTCTTCCAATGTCCCTACTCCTTGCAGGATGCACATTGGTTCTTTACTAATTGGTGACGGCTTCTTGACTTTGACCTCCCTCTATTACCACCTTTCGGATATGGGCTTCTACCTCTCGTTGATAAGGCCTCGCCTGAAGTGCTAGCACGAGAAGTCTCATTGTCCTTCCTCCTCAAATCGTAATCGGTCAATACGTTAGTCACTTCACTATAGCTGATAGAAGATCTCCCGTTCAACAAAGTGATCACAAAGGTATCATACTCCTCATTCGGTAAGGAGCCCAACAAAATAATCGCCTTGTACTCATCTGATATCTTCTCATCAACATTCGCCGAGTCCGACAATAACTTAGTGTAGTTGTTCACATGAGCCGCTAGTGAGGTACCTCTGGACATCTGAAATTTGAAGAGTCTTCGTAACAAGTGCAACCTGTTCTCAACACTCTTTGTGAGATACTTGTTGTTGAGAATTTCCCACATCTTCATTGCAGGCGTCACCCCAATCACATCATATTTCAGTTCATGTTCCAAACAGGACCTGATCACCCTACACGCGTTCCTATTCATCTTCTCCCATATCGCCTCATTATATTTAGGTGGCCTCTCGTGGACCATGATGGTCTCTTCCAAATTCTGAGCATTGAGCGCATTCTGTACGTCGCTCATCCACAAACCAAAGTTAATTTTGTTATCATACTTCACCACACTAATCTTAGTATTCTGAAAACCAACTTGTATTGTACCCGCCATCGACTTGCTGCTTTCACCTTCTTCTCCCATTGCAAACTAACTCCAAATTGTAAAAAAAGAACAAATTTGATAGAAATTAGGAACCGCCCAACTGAACCCTAGATCAGATTCCAAATAGATCTCCTATCCACACGAGGAAAACGAAATCTCCAATGGCAACTCTTAATGCTATTTCCACCGAAGCCTAGAACTCCAAGAACCAAGCTTCGCACAAGAATCTTCCTCCACCAAATTCCAAAACCCTAGCTCTAAAATCTGGGCTCTGATACCACTTGTTGCACGCAGCGGAAATTTCAACAGCACTTCGGCAGGATAACAAGAGAGTCAGATCACAATAAGAATTCCCGTCTCACCAAAGAAACAAGAATCTGAAGCGAATATCTCAACAAAGTGAGATATCGGCTCTTCCTCTCATCAGTTCTAGGACTGACCTGTCGAGGGATCCTAAAAACCATTACAAATAACACAAAAGCTATACAACCAATTTTACGTGGTTCGGTAAATTGCCTACGTCCACGGGGTAAGGAGGGGGGAATCTACTAATAGAGGGAGAGAATACAACTAGGATTTACAATCACTCAATCTAAATCCTCTCACAAACTCTCAAATCCCTCACACAAATATCTCTCTACAAAAGAATGAACAAAACTCTAAAAAGCCGCTGCAATTTTCTCTTTTTCAGCCGACTTTTCTCCTCGGTTTTTCCCACTTGCTGTTTGCACACAACCGCTTTTCCCATGTTCTTGCTCTCCGAACCACGAAGCCCTAGCCAATGGTTTTATAGGGTCGCGGTTTGTACCGGGTGGGCCTGTTCACACGTCCCAGAAAAAACAAAAAAAAAAGCAGCTATACATGTATGATGCACATGTACAACGGGTGGGCCATGGTGTATTCATGCATCCATTGGTGGGTGTGGCTCCCCAAAACGTCCACGTTCACAGTATGAATATGGCTTAAGAGTGTACCCATTACTACAAAAATTTCAATAAATGTGTTGATCGTTGCTACAACAACAAAATGTCATTGCAAAAATAAAACTGGCTAAATAAGGGAGTTGCTATTGCATTCAAATTGAAACCTCAACAGAAAGAGTTGGAAATACATGATGTGCAAATGAATTTATCATTCAAACTATTTCTTCTTAATTAAGTTCATCTATCCATCATACCAAAACACTAAAGTTGTGACGATAATCGAGGATTATGGTTTTGTAATCTAACCGGTTTATATTCATAGCCAGTGTGATTTGAATCTGAGTTGTATTCAAATTGAAGCATTCCAAGAGAAAGAGTTGGGAATATATGATGTGCAAATGCATTTGTCATTCAAACTATTTATTTTTAATTAAGTCCATCTAACCATTATATCAAAACTTCAAAGTTGTGATGAGGATTAAGGATAATAGTGTTATAATCTAACACTTCAAACATGAACACTAGCAGATCCCACTCTTGCAACCAAAACACTGTTCAGATTTTTTTTAACAAAATTTGGTTGTCACAAATATTTTCAGATGCAACTGTAACAACACAGGCCTTCAATCGTGGTAAAGATATTTTTTTCCCCAAAAATATACTAGATTTGATATTCGTCCCTACTGCAACAAACTTTAACATCAGAAAGTAGGCATTTACATAGTCGGCTGTAAATGGACTTAAGCTAAACAACTGTCCGTAGACAATTTTAATTATGCACAATGTGGTAGGGAAAAATGTTAGGTCGAAACTTTTAAGGTTGGATGAAGCACCAAAATTGCCCAAATTTATAAATCATTGAGAATCTTAACATTGCAGAAGATAATAACGCCACAGCTTTTCTTTCGCTAAGAAATTCAAACATTAATCAATCACAGGAAATAGAAATCGTTATAGAAGATTTCTGTCTTTTTGGCTTTATTTTTTTGCTTCCTGAGATGGCCAGCAATAAAATGTTGGGGGAAGGCATTTAAGAAACAAAAATGTTTGATGAATCCATAAGCTCCTTAGCCACGATTTTTTGACTAGATTCTTTTCAAAGAATCCTCCTTTTTTTATGATAGAATGGTAGAAGGATTTTATTAATTAATCATGTCATGCATTACATATTTTGCCAATATGGCAGGCATCGAATCCTCTCATATCCTAGTACAATTATAAGATTTTGTAGCTTGAACGAAGATATGAGCTATTTGGTTTTCAGATCGGGGCACAAAAGAAAAGCTTCATAGTTGGAAGCTAGTGCTCATGTTTTGCGATTCGTTGATTAGTCCTACCATGTTGTGGTATGGATGGTGAGTGTTGTGCAAGTGATAAGCTCCCGTGAGTCTGTTTCAAAAATCACATGTTGGGACTTCCATTGTTTTGTCAAAATCATTCCTTCTCGAACAGCAAGAATCTTCGCCATCAATGGTGATTGTGCAGGTCTCGTAACGAAGCGTCGAGCAACCTCCACTATACCATCATGTCCTTGGGCAACCACCCCTGCCGTGGCATTTGATTTCCAATTAATCCACCCCCCGTCAAAATTAAACTTGATTACTCCCTGGTTCGCTGCACTCCAATATTGAGTTTCTCGACGCTTGTTGAGCTCGGTATAGTGTTCCGTTTGAAATGAACTCATAAACCAGAAATGGAACCTGTCTCCAAACAACAGCCCAATAGCTTGATGATATTCTTGTGATTAACATGAGTGAATATAAGAAGTTCGTTTACAAACCGCTCAACATGGCTCTGGTCCATCTCTTGCGACTTCTTTATAGCAACCACCGTGCCGTCATTCAGGATTCCTTTGTAGACAGTGCCATGACCTCCAGTCCCAATAATTCTTTACTTACCGTAATTATTCGTTGCAGAGAAAAGCCTTGTTCCATTAGCAGGAGTTCCACTGAAGTACACGGCTCTACGATTTTTCTTCTTCCATGCACAATAGCACCAGACCGAACATGAGAATGTAGTCCCAACTATGAGGACGCTTGCTGCATTAAAGAAATTTACATATATATAGGAAAAAGAATACTTATTTGAATCTTTGGAACTGAACTAATTCATTGTAGAATTGAATTTCGTATTTGATCTAACCTACGTACACTTGTGAGGATCACCTGAAGGCGCTTGTTGCGGCCTTGACCTCTCAATCCATTTCCTGAACTACCCAGTGAGCACTGACAAGTGTATCCTGGGATTATGTTCTTACAAGTTGCTTCTGGTGCACATAGATTGTTTGCTGACTCATGGCATTCATCAATATCTGCAGGTGATAGTCCAAAGTAATATCCCAAACTACCCTTCAACCAATGTAAATATACCCGTGTTATCCCTTATAATCGATCGATACACAGAATTCATCATAATCAGAAATGAAAAGCCTTAAACTTATCGTAACGCACCGCCTCTGCCATCATCTCCACAGCTCTTAGATTCTGACAACGGTAAGGATTGAGTTTCTTCTTCTTCTTCTTCACCCCGCTACACAAAACCCTAGCTATTTGTTCTAATTTTGCCCTAATTCTCGATTTCCTGCAGTTTCAAGCGACGAGGGTTTCAATATTCGAAGGGCAGTTGGAGCGAGATTAGAAAGTAAGTGGAATCTCGATCTTTCCATTTCTCAGTTAGATCAGTTCTTTTAAACTAATCCTGCACTTTTCTACTCTTATTATTGATTATTGATCTTATTGATTCGTTCATCAACTTCCCCTTCAAAGACCTCAGCTGGGATCTTGCTTCGCCAAGGTACCATCTTTAAATTCAGTGCTTTTTGCCAAATTTTGCCGTTTTCCCTCTATTTTGTTAATGAGTTTTGCTCAAAAATCGAAACTTTGATATGGGTCACTCTTCTTTTTTCTGCTAATTGTTATTTTTGTTTTTTTTGTACTTATGTTCTTATTTGAGTTGTTTTTTTAATCAAATGGTTGCTAATTTAGGAATTTTCATGTGTCTAGATGATTATGCATTTTTTTATGTTATATTGTTGTATACATGATGCAAAATGAAATGCATTAGAAATTCATTTGTTAGGAGTATGAAACAAAATTATGCAGCATTGTCAATCTATAGAAATGTATTGGATCTACTGCTGTTATGTTGGTTATAGAGTTAAAAGAACACTTGACAAAGAAAACTTTCATATCTCGGAACAAGGACAGGCTAAGACAATGTACGTGGGCCGAACCATGGATTTTATCAGTTCCAAGCAAGCATTAATAGCGCAAGCTGCAGTTTGGTGTGCACATATTTATACATGGACACCAATTTGCTTTGAGTGGCTTTGAGGGTTTATCCATCAATGGTTGTCTGCTACCTGGCAATGCAATTCTCCTATATTAGGTCCGAATGCTGTTTCGATTGCTTGTTTTCACAAAAAGCGGGTTATGTCAAGTTTTGTATAATGTAATGATATCTGTTCATCAATATTTTGGAGAGGACGATTCTGACTCGCTCCAAATTTGAGTTTGGCATTCCTCTTGAGAATTGGACTCATTTTTTGCATTTGACTTGAGAAAAAATCAAAGGTATAAACATTTGTGATTAGGAATTTGATTCTCTGTGCACCTAGACATAGTGGAGAGGAGGCTTTGAGGATTTATCCATTAATGGTTGTCTGCTACCTGGCAATGCAATTCTCCCAGATTAGGTCTGAATGCTGTTTCGATTGATTGTTTTCACAAAAAGCTGGTTATGTCAAGTTTTGTATAATGTAACGATAGCCATTCATCAATATTTTGGAGAGGACGATTCTGACTCTCTCCAAATGTGAGTTTGGCATTCCTCTTGAGAACTGGACTCATTTTTTGCATTTGGCCTCAGAAAAAATCAAAGGTATAAACATTTGTGATTTGGAATTTGATTCTTCGTGCACCTAGACGTAGTGGAGAAGATTTGTGTCAGTTGCTTCTTTATCTGTGAGTTAAAGCTTTGTGTCGTTTAACTCCATTACAAGATCAATGGAAAAGCATATTCTTAGGTCCGTGAATGACCCCTATGAAATTTCTTCATTTTTCTCGTTATCTTTATGTTTTCATATCAGATTATGAAAATATAACTGTTGAGAGCTTGCCATCAATGCAAGGATGAAAGCTTTTCTGTGGATATATAGTTGTCTACCTTAGTTTTATGTGGTAATTAGAATTGAAAAAAATCATGTCACTTATTGATAATGTAACATAATGAGAACTGGATCGTATTTGAATATTTTTCAGATTTACCATCAGTTTTATGTGAAAATGTTAGAAGAAAAAATTAATATCAGTTTTACATGAACATGTCAGAAGAAAAAAAAGTAGACGATCAGTTTTTGTTTTAAAAGTAGCTATTCCATGACGTAGTTGTTTATGTACTTGAAATATATATGTGTGTGTGATTGTAAAACTTATTATATCCGGATGTATTATACTTTTCTATCATCAATCTTGCACAACTTATTTTGAGAGAGCTTTGGCAAAAGCATAGAATTCACACATAATGAACTGCATTCAACCACACCTAGGCTTACATAACTTGAATTATGAAGATATTTTTCCCACACATGACGATGAGATGTTCACAACCCTCAATTTCTACTCCCTCAGTTGGTGATGGAAAAAAAAAGACAACAGAGGCTGAAGGGGAAATCAAAATTTGAATTTATGTAGCTAACATGACACACTCAATATCTTGCATGCAGATTCCAGTCATCGTAGCCTCTGGCCCATAAACCTGCAGCAAAAAATTCCCAAATTTCAATTAGTTAGGCATCCAGCAGGAAAGTCAGACAAAATGACCTAAATTTTGATTTCTCAGCTAAATTAGATCTATTTTACACCAGAACTCAAATGAACATGACCTGTAAAATATCAAATGATTGTTCGATTTTGGTGCTTTACCCTTTAGTGTGTTGTGTGCTATTCTAAATAGGAGTATACTAAACTGTTTTGAACCTGTTCTTTTATTCTCTTTTCTTCTCAATATAGCTTCTTTTTACTCAAATGAAAATCGACATATGACAAGTTTGATAAGCAACTCCCTGACCAAGCAATTCCTTCATGCAAGCTAATATAACTAATTTATCATGATAAGGACTCTTATCGAAATACATCAATAGAGACAAACTTCTCCAAAATGTTAGATTTGAAATTACTAACATTAGCATTATCTCTCTTTGAAATGTTGTTTCACTTATTTTAGTTGTCCTTATTTAGTCTACATGTTATAATTATTCGTGTATCCAACTTCTATTAGTGATTGGACTTGCCTTCTGGTAGTTTTGTTACTTTATATGTTTGATTAACTGTTAGTTTGAATCACTTTTCTTTTCTACATATTTTTAATCTATTGAATGCAGGCATATAACATACAATTGTATTGAACACAGCACTGGGACTTGTTTGGCCAAAAGATGTACGTAGATTGTGAAATTTTTGAAATTACTTATGTGAGTAATTCTCCACCTTCAATGTACATGATATATAGGTCCTTCTGTTGCTCATTCCAATGAAATAAATCTTGTGAACTTGTAGAAGAAAACTGGACAAACCAACATAAGACAAAGTCTGTTATCTTCACAAATAGTACTGTAATAATTTTGATTCACTTCAATTATTTTTTATGTCATAGGGATGCTTGAAAAGTTATGTTGAGCATCCAACATCTTGCAATGGACTTGTTATGATTTTTAGTTATGCTGGTCATCAAACATTGTAGGAATACTGTTTGGATCAGCAAACCAAGGTTAAAAACTACAACTTCTCGTAGGTTCTATGATCAATTAGAATCAGCTTACTAAATTTCTGATATAATCAAGCATAAGTATGATCTATTTTTCTTTTATTTGCTAATGATACCACCGAAGCTCTTTTATAATTCAAGAAATTCCATCTCTATGCTTGTTTGCCTCCTCTTTCAAGAAATTTACAACCTGTTGTTGCTTTCAGATGCTGTAAAGTGCAATTACATAATATCTAGGGTATGCTGCTGGCTAAACTTCTATCTGACCAAACATATTGTAACCTTATGGTTAATATAGTATGCTGTGATTACTTATTAACCATGAAATCAGCTTATAAGTGAATTTCTGATATAACCAAGCATGAATATGCTCTTTTTTTCTATTGTTTGCTAATGACACAAGCAAAGCACTTTTAATTCAAGAAATTCCATGCATATCTATGCTTGGATGCATCCTCTTTCTGTGGTTTCATTGGTTGCAGCGCAAGCACACTATTTCAAGTTCAAAAAGGCTTTGTCATCTAATTTAAGTTGATCATGCTCTTTCGATCAAAGAACTCCGTGTTAGTTGCATTCCTTTATGATCATTTCTTTTCATTTTCATTTAGATACTCTTGTTTTTTCTTTCAACTTCTAGGTATGCAAATTAAAACTATGAGATTTCAAGGGTGCCCTGGTTGATGCTGAATTTGCATTGCGAGAAAGAGACGGGTATGACAAAGCATACTTTCGCCAGGGTCAGGTTAGTGTCCTTATCTTTGCAACCTTTATATGTTAATGTACCTATAACCATAACTTCTTTACATTCTGAGTAGGAGGGATTAATCATGTGTTAATAGCATTTTCTCCTTAAAATTGAATTGTGGCAGATTCAATAGTCAATTATAGGCTTCTACCAAATTATGTTATTAGAGAGAGAAAACATTATGGGATGATGAACAAATCTAGCAAGCATCATTCATCAATGACATGACATAATAACTGTAATTTATTTATAGTTGCAGGTTGCTTATTAATAATCATGAATGTTGGATAGCATATTAACATTAATAAGTGTATTTATGAGGAAAATAATATCATATTAACTTGGCATTTTAATTTTTATTCAATATTCAATTTAAAACTTGACAACTCCCCAATCTGAATCCAAACAAGACTCAAAAGCGCATCCAAATCATGTGGGACCCATCAGTGTATTCAGAGTAGTCGACAAAGAGGTCTGACAATTTGTGGCTCAATATGAGCCACCGGTGGGTAGCTTTCAATACAACTAACTTCACATATATCTCATCTAATCAACATAGATAATGGGATTATGCAATAACAGTGACCTTTTGGTAGTTCTGGAAAGAGAAAAACGGACAACGGTTAGTATTATGCATAATTCAGTTTGACCTGCTCAATGTTGGGGCTCCCACAACCATCCTCATACTCTTCGTGCTGGTACCTATATGCTTCTTATTTTTTCTGTAATGTAGACAATTTAGCATCAATTAACTGTAGTCTGATTGTACTTGTATCCTCTATGTAATAGGTTGGAGCAAGGTTCCTATCTTGGAAAAAGCAAAGAATGGTATCTTTATTGATCCTTAGTTCCAAATAACACTTTGCGTTATGAATCCATCATAGGTTATTTGGTTCCAGGGGTTGGTTGATATATATTTAGCTTATCTTCTAATAGTTTTAAGTTTTGGATGAAGTTAGTTAAGATTGATATACTTGTCGGCTCTCAACTCATCATCTTTCTGCTGTTCATGTAATTTTTCATGACTAATATACGAATTTCAAAAGGAAAAAATAAAAAAATAAAAATAAGAACCAACTTTTGTAGCATCCATCGAGACAACCAAAAACAGTAAGTAAACTACCATTAACAAAACGAACTTGTATAGAGTTGTAGTACAAAAAGTTAGTGTAGAACTTTTAAGGAATAGCTTAAGTGTTACTGAAAAAGAATTAGCATAAGTTTTACTTCTAATCATTTATTTGGTATTTGTAAACAATTATGTAAAAAAAAATTCCTTCAGTCTAATGTAATATTAGTTAAGTTGACGAAAAGGTTATTTGTTAATATTTATATAGTTGTTACCTTTACAAAGTTCATAAGTACTTAAATATTCAATTTAAGCCAAATGATGGTGATATGTCTTCATAAATTTTAATTTTTTTAATTTCTTGAGCATGTTTCTACCATACTAATGTGAGTTAAGCAACTTTCTTCTCTTTTCTCTTTATTTTGTTCATAGTGATGATAACTCTATTTCCTTGTATTTATCTTCTTCTACACTTAAATATTTATTATTATTATTATTATATGACTTAAAAAAACAGAATTAACCTTAGCATATGAGATATTTATGATTACTAATGCATGTATAGTGTACCAAAATTAAAAAAAAACTAAAGTACTATTGAACATCAAATAAAATATACTTATTCTCTCAAATTATATTCACTGCTATACTTATGTTTAATAAAATCAATAATTTAACACAATAAATTTTTTTTCCTTGTAGAAATATATATTCTACTTCTTGGATTCCATAATCGCTATACATTTGCATAAGGACCTGGGAACCCAACTCCTATGAAAATTCTCAGGGAGAATCTTCTATTTTGCATTGCAAGTGGAGAAAAGGAGAGTTGTCAAAGTCAACTTATTCCTTCGGCTGCAATTCCTATGCATGGATTCTTGATTCTGGTTAATACGAGTATATGTTGAGGTTTGTTTTGCTCATGAATAGGGATTGTATGTCAAAGTGTTTTACTTCATGCTGTCATTTACTCTGATCATTTATTTAAGTTGAATCACGTCGAGTATGGGCATATCTTTTTGGTTCCTTATGATACCAAGCGAATTACAGCGTTTTTCCACAAGGATATGTTCTATTTGTTTTCACGGTTTGCAAAGGAAAACAGTAATTGCTCCCTAAAGGTCTTTTTTTTGAAAAGTTCTTCGACAACTCCAGATTATGCATAATTACAGGTATTTTACTGACCGCGTTAGTTAATTTTCTTATTCATATGTAATTTACTAAGTAAGTCAGCATTTGGGGTTCCTAATGCTGTCTGAACACAAACTTTTTGGATTTGTGCTTAGTAATTTTTTTTGAGAATAGTGGAAGGAGAGACCTAAGAGAACAAGGATGAATTTTTTTAAGGAGTGCTTTGAGAAACCTTTTATGATATAGGATGTTATTACGATACTATTCTTATAGGATTCATAATGCCGAGCACGACATTGAGGACAGGTAAGAAATAAGAATAAGCTGAGTCTGGCTATTTTTTGGCTTGACAAACAAAACATGATATACACTCTTTACCATATCATAGGAATTCCCTCACTGTTTTATTTATCTTTTTCTTTTTCTTTTTGACAGTTAAAGAATATTGACTTTTAATATTATATACCAAAAACCTAACAGTTTGTTGCTACCTGTGGAACAGGCTGATTACTTTGCAAACCCTTTACAGGTGGAACTTCTTACAGTTATCAATGTATATGACTGCAAGTATAACAAATTACTAACCATATCTGAGCTTGCAAATTATCCTCTTAATAAGACATTGCTGTTTACAAGCCAGAACTTGGAATCACTTGTTGGATTAGTAGCAGAAATATGAACTATTTTACAGAAAAACAACAATGTCGTGTTCAACTTCCTGTCCTCTGATTGTGCTACAAAGGTGTTCCTGTTTCCTCAGGTAAATTCCAAGCAAGTATTATATTATCATTGCATCATGTCTGATCTTGGAGAATATTTATATGTTACAAACTTAGACCAATGCATCCATTTTATTGATTGAGAATGTGCCATACCAATTTATTGTCCTCAAGTAATAAGAAAAGGCTGAGAAGGCAGTTTTTAAAGTAAAAAATTTCTGCAACTCCATTTTATATAACTAGAGTCTAGAAATTACATCATGACTATCTAAAATATAGATAAAACAATCTGATGGTTTTACTTACGGACCCATCTTTTACTTGACGACTTAATAAAAGGAAAAAAGGATGTTCTGAGTTCACTGATATCACTATTGTCTACTACCTGCACTGATGAGTCCGTGTCACTATCTAATTCCTCCCTATGTGATATTCTACAGCGCTTTTAAGGATATTTTCCCCTTTAATCTTTTAAGAAATAGGATGAATAACTTGGTATTTTAATACTTTATGTCAATGAAATGAATCCTTCCGAGAGTTTACAGGATCGAATACATAGAGGACCCAAGCAGGGAGCTCAGATATTGAGTTGCAGAGAGGCGAGAATTCTGATACCGATAAAAGCGATAATCCAGATTCCAAATACTCCAACAGTATAAGGAACAGGCTACCTTCATACAAATGAGATGTACTTGAAGACTCTTCGAGGTAATTCAAGTCTACTTGCTCTCATTCTTTTGTAACCGCTTCGTCCTTTTGGTTACAACTGATCTGACACTCAAACTGAAGGCTTTACTGCTGCTCAAACCCAGATTTTAGACAGCAGCAGGCAAACAACTGTATTTTTCATCCATATTTTCTTTTTTTTATTGTTTAAGTGTACCTACGGTGTATTCGAAAGTGCTCTAGACTCTATGTACAGTTTGTAGATCTTTGAAAGATTGATTCTTTTAATGACTTGGACCTGTTTTAGATTGCTTGATTATCATGTGATAGCATGAATAACCCTTAATGCCAAGTTATAGTACTTTATCTGATATTGAGCTCAAAGTCAGGCTAATCTTTTTAATTACATCTCAGAGAGCATTTTGATGCTTTATCTTAATGTACTACAGAGAATTGGTGTATGTCAGGTATCAAGACACATCTTTACCTGATTGGTAATTCTACTGAAGGCAATTGTGTTTATGCTGATGAGGACTTACTGGATGCTCTACTCGGTTCTGCGGTACACCTTACATTAATTCTCTCCACCTTTACTTTTTGTAGAAGAACGCCTTATGATATTCTGATCAGTGGAAAATTGCAGTGGGAAGATTGTTCATGGAAAGGTCTGCTCAAATATTATATTCTGCTTTAAAAAGTTGTTGGGTCCCTTGACGCAAAATCACTTGTTTCTATGCTTTATACAATATATTCTTCTGTAATCTCTGCATGTATGTCGATATTTATCTGTTTGTAATTGTTGAAACTGATGAAATTATTTCCTTATGCTAGCGTGTTTATCTTAGCTATGGTACATGTATACTCCACAAGTAGAGCTTTTTTTCTTTTCTCTGTTTATAACACTTTATTTTATTAAGCCATTTATGTGTGGCCAAACTTTATGAGGAGGCATAAATAACTGAAATAGAAGAAACAAATTGTTTTATGATTTGACGCGTTACTTCAATTGTAAGGATTCCATAGCAATACCATTATTGTTGTAACATTTGGAACTATTATTTATATTAGCAAAATTATGCACATATTTGGCCTGTGTGTAATTTGTTCCATCGTGTTGACTATCTTAGCTACTATCTGAGGGTTAACATTTAAGTGCAGGTTCCTGTGGATCTTGTTATTGATCACTCAGTACAGATTGATGTGGCAAGATCAGCGAATGCAGTTCAGGCAAATATGGAACTTGAGTTTCAACACAACAAGGAAAGATTTGGATTTTTAAAATGGTGTTCCAATGCATTCAATAATATGCTTGTTGTCCCAAAAGGGTCTGGTATTGTCCACCATGTAATTATATTACATCATTCATGAAGGGTGCATCTGATCTGCTGTCGTGTTAAGAGTTTAATCTCAGACGAGTTTATGATAATTAATGGTTGCATAATCTAAACGTTGTTCTTAACCTGTCTTGCAGATGAACTTGGAATACATTGGACGAGTTGTTTTTAACAATGAAGGAATGCTTAACCCTGACAGTGTTGTTGGTACTGATTCCCACACAACTATGATAGATGGGTTAGGTGTTGCTGGCTGGGGAGTTGGCGGAATAGATGCGGAAGCTGCAATGCTTGGCCAGGTTACTTATTACTTTAAGTGCAATTAATTATATGTTTATGAGCATTGTATCGTACAAGTATAATAACGGGACCATCTTACCTATATACTCCACCAACCTTCCTTTTCGTCCTCTATATATTTATTTGTGTCTTTGTGTTTGATTTTCCTTTTTTTTATTTCTTTTTTCAGGGAGGATATGTGGGAAAGGGCATAAAACAACAGTATATATTTTCCTATTTATCATTTTGAAGACAATGATTGCCTGATATTTCTTCGGCACAATCAACTCTCTGCACGGTATAGGACTTTCAATTACATCTCCCAGATGAATTAGAGGACAACTTATAGATTTATTTCCTCAAAACTCAAAAGGTGCATCAAGGGATCAATTGGCTTGACAGCATGCTTGGGCTTTCGGCTTATCTTGTGGAAAGCGTACTTTCAAGGTACTATTGAAGACATCCAATTCAAGAAGAAATCGACGGATAACCTCTAACATTGTATTACTCATCTCAAATGTAATATTAATCATTCATTTTAGTAGCTTTAGTCAGTCATCGAGTGGAACATTTGTATTGAGAGCAAGACTGATAATGCATATATAATGTTTGGACGCTTACATCACAGTGAAAGCAACTGCCTAAATATAGAGGAAAAAAATGCATTGTTGGTAGATGACGGCTGTTCGCCTTCTTAACTTGTAATTCTTTTACATTCAAGTTTCTCTCGAACGTCCAAATGTGTTCCATTTAATTTATATCTAATCGGTATTGTGTTCTGCAACGATACTTAACTTATGATAATTTAATGTGAGCCCTTAACCATTTTAAAAATTTGAATTGGCCAACCAATCAATAAATAAATATATTTTAATTGTTCAAATGATGAATATTTATATTATGTCTATATGTTTTATCCATTACTTACATTCCATAATTTTATAACAAAACATTAAAAATAAAATTAAAAATTTTAAACAAAAAATGAAAACTTTACCACGTGCATTGCACGTGCAATCTAACTAGTATATATATATACACGAGTATTATTTGCAATCCTGAAAGCAGTAAAATCAATATTATTTAATATTATAGAGAATTAGGGTTCATTTAATGTAAAACCCCGTAATTTTTGAAAATACTATGGTAAATAGTAATAAATAAGTTATATTATGTTAAATATCATTTATGGATGAATGAGTATGTTAGAAATTGATTTGAGATCAATTAAGTGTATACATGAGAGTATACAAGTGTTAAACATGCACAAAACAAGTGGAAACATGCACGCAAGCAAAAATCTCTAGGCTGGAAAATGCCTCGGATCAGGTGACTGATGCTTCCCTATCAGTCGACTGATAGGAGATCATAAGTCAACGGATGGCAAGCCTTCAGTCGAGCGACAGGTGCGATCATACCAGCAAACCTGATAACTGCTTGTAGCATCGGGTCGGACGACCGATGGCTATTATCAGTCGACCGATATGAGCTTGCCGGTTGACTGATGTCAAGGATTAGTCGACCAACGGGCAGATTCCCAGTTTGACTGGGTTTCGTGTCTTTTTGTGTTGTTTCGGGTTTACCTATATATATATATATATATATATATATATATATATATATATGGGAGAAGTGTTCCTAAGGTGACGCCTTAGATAATCATCTAAGGACACGGCCTAAAATCACATGATTGAGCTACATTGTTGATGATCCGCTCCGTTGATCTTGATCTACATATTCTAAAACTCCAACACACCAAGATTGGGATGAACTCGTTGTCGTTTGACCCTTCATCCACTCGTATCAATTTTAACGGTTTTGAATGAATAGTACTTTTCACATGGCTCGACGGAGAGTCAAACGATGATGGGTTCACCCCAAACTTGGTGTGTTGGGGTTTTAGAATATGTAGATCAAGTTTAACAAAGCGGATCATCCACATTTAGCTCATGCGATGTGATTTAGGCCGCAGTCTCTTAGATGATTATCTAAGTCGTCACTTAGGAAGCACTTTTCCTATATATTATATATATATATATATATATATATATATATATATATTATATATATGTATATATATTAATTATAATTATACTATATATGAATATGATTATATATTATATATATATATATATATATATAGTATATATATGTATATATATAATATATATAATAACTATATATTGATATTATATATTATAGTATTATATTATATTATATAATATTATATATTATATATATAGATATATATATATATATATATACATATATACAGATAATATATATTATATAAATATATGATATGTACCATATTATATATAGATATATATATAATCATAATATGTATATATATATATATAAATATAATATTATTTTATATTATTTATTATTTTATGTATATATATATATATATATACTACTATATATATATATTATTCACACAGCACACACAGCTTATTATTAATTTTGGAAACAGCCACCAATCCCCCTCAAAACCTTATATCATATTTTATGAGTTTTGAAGGGGTTTTGTGAAGCAAATACCGAAAAGAGGGCAAGATCGTCAGCATTTGGCGAGGGAGAACCTGTTTTCTTACACTCTTGAGAATTCCTGTACGTGTTGAGGCGAGTTTCATCTCCTCCAAACCCGTACCCCATTTTTAATTGGTTTTTATTTGGTTTTGCTTGGATTTATCGAACTTTAAAACATATTTAAGTATGAAGATCGTTTCTTTGAACTGTATGATGTTAAGATCAAATCTTCTTGAATTAATAAGATATAACACAGATTTCCAGATATGGGTTTGAGTATTGAACATGATTTTAGTATGAGTTTTGTTGAGTTTTATGGTTCTTCAAGATGATTTTTCCGATATGAATATGCTAGGATTGTTAGAATCCCCTCAAATATAATAATTATACTTCATGTAGATAACTAAACCTTAACCACCTTTAACAAGTTTTAATATATGTATTATTGCAAAAAATTTTGATTTTCTCATGCTTTTAAACAGCTTGAAAACCAAAACCTGAATTTACCCTTAGCATCGGTCGATTGAATAACAAGATTAATCGACCGAACCCATCTTGTTGTCTTGCCTTGTGGAGCTGGCTAGTCGACCAACTAGGTGCATCGGTCGATTGGTTGCTGCTTGTTGCGTGCACGATTTGTGCATGTTGCTGCTAGTCGACTAATGTGAGGTATCGCTCTACTAAGCAAAGTATTTTTGGGAATTTTTTTGGCACTTGAGTTGATCACGAACACAAGTTTTGGGTCCGCACATAGAAACACGTGCTTGACCACTGGAGCACACATATTTGGAATTTGAGCACGCACGCGCGTTTGGAGGTATGTAATTATATATTTTGATTTGTTATGTTAGTGAATGATGCATTTTGCATTTCATGATTGTTCGGATGCTTGAGTGGGTTAGTTGGCATACCACAATGAGACCACAGTAGACTACACTCAGGGTGGTTAGTTGGTATACTGCAATGAGACCACAATAGACTATATTCCGTTGTGCATCACTATTTCCAGAATTGGGAGGTTAGTTGGCATATCGCAATGAGACCACTATAGACTACACTCAGGGTAGTTAGTTGGTATACTACAACGAAATTATAGTAGACTACACTCGTTTAGAATCATTATTTCTAATAGAGTATTACACAGACTGCATTCATGCTCTTATGATATTTACCCTGAGAATAGGGTATAGGACTGAGGTTGTCATACATGGCATATTCTATGTGAGTTCTCTTTGATCGGGATTTTATTTTTGTGACTGTGCTACTACCCGAGGTAGTATGAGGATTTAACGTGACTTGTATTGGTTGAGATTTAGATTTGTATTTCTTTTATTCGTTGTCTTATTCATAGGATTTGGAGTTGGTATTTAGAGATTCACAATTTGAGATACAAGGTATATACATGAGGTTTTCCTTGTTTGGATTATTTTGCTCGACGTACCTATTCTCGTGTTTTGGATTTCTAAATATCAATTTTTACTTAGTTTAGTATAGATGATTTTATAACTATATGTACTAACCTGTATTTTTTTATATACTCCTAACCTCCTCCACCTAGGGGCGATGGAGATGATCTCACTAGCGCTTTGATGCTCGTTGTTTCTCCTCTTTTTAGGCAGCAAACCAGGCATCCAGAGAGTCGCAAGTTGATGAACTTTCAGCTTAGCATCCGTCATATATTATTAGTAGTTATTTGAAACTCCACAGTGTTTTATTATTTGTTTTCAGACATTTAGAGTTGTATTTCATTTTATAAAGGCTGGGTGCCTTAATACTATTTCATTTGACTCATGTATTGAGATATTATACATTTGTTTTAGTTTATTTACTTAATGTGGGCACAATATAAGCATCATCTATAATTTCCCATAAATCAAAGTGTTTAGATTGAACAAAAAGTTTAAATCTAACACACCATTGGGCATAGGGGAAATTATCTAATCTAGGAGCAATATTAATGGCATAACCTAAACCATGCATATCCATAATATAAAAGGCAAGCAAGATACAAATAAAGCTCAAAATTAGATTGGCACAATAAGCTAACTTGGATCTTTAACTCAAGGCGATTAGACCTTAAATCAAAGAGCATCAAGCTCTGATACCAATTGTTAGACCCTAGAGGGGGGGTGATTAGGGTCTTATGCTAATCTAATCCGATTTTATGCCAATTAAAACTTAATTAATAAGTTATCCTAGCAAGTATGAAATACAACAATGTATATGAGCTAGGATAAGCAATATGAATAACAAGATATATCCTAACAAAGAGATATATGCAATATATGCAATGTATGTGCAATGATATATAAACTCAAGGGTAAACAATCTAAACTAGATAGTGGGCAATATAATCAACAAGCAATATACAAAGGCGATATAAGATATGAACATAAAAGTAAGTGCGCCAATGCAATCACAAACAAACAATATGATTACGGAGTTCGGTCCCCACGACCTACGTCTCCGCTCCTCACCTCGAGGAGATCTCCACTATCACAACCGGGTTTTCTACGTTCACCCGAACAACGTTTACACCTCACAATACAATCACTATGTAATCACACCTCACACACTAAGTGTTGGTCCTAGCCCGTGTCCTCCTCCTCAAGTGCTCGGTTACAACCTCTCCCTAGGCACGTCAACCGACGCCACTCCTCTTGGATTCGACCCCGTCTCTCACCACACACTTCTCTCGGTGTACAAGTGTATTACAAGTGAATCCTCACAATTAGGCTCAATACAAAGTGTTTGTTCTCTACAATGAATGAGAACGAATTATAAGCTCACTCTCTAAGTTACACAATCCCACAACCCAATTATACTATGAATGTAAATACAATAAGCTCAATAGGTTGTGTGTGAACAAAGAGTATCAATAAAACGATTAAACTAAACTCAATATAAATCTAGCTTATGGAAATTATAATCAAAATAATAAATTGCTAGATGAGTTTAGAAACACTTCTCTAAAGATGACAAGAGAGTAGGAGAAGAGTGAATGCTCAAAAACCAGAGGATGATCTCCACTTGCTCTTGTGAAATTGAATTCACAAACTCAAACCCTCAATTGCTTAAAAGCTTCTTAAACCAAACTTAAACAAACACTAAACAAGTTTAAACCCTTGTTAAACTATTTTAAAACAT